TTTTTTAGATTCCATATATATGTGTTAGCATATGGTATTTGTTTTTCTCTTTCTGACTTCACTCTGTATGACAGACTCTAGGTCGATTCACCTCACTACAAATAACTCAATTTCGATTCTTTTTATGGCTAATAGTCCATTGTATATATGTGTCACATCTTCCTTATCCATTCATCTGTTGATGGACACTTAGGTTGCTTCCATGTTCTGGCTATTGTAAATAGGTTGACACAAATTCTTAACTTGATTTTTTCATTGTAAAGCCATGTAACATTGATGTTTACAAATGAAAACATCTTAACATTGATTTTTTTCATTTGTAAAGGCAGGTAAATGGAGCTGGGAGGTTCAAACACATAACAGGCTGAAAACATGATTTTTGAGTATATGTTGCCTTTGAACCTTGCAGCCTCTTGGTCAGTAAAAAAGGGAGCTGTTATTTTTGTTCTCCTTTCTCATGGACTTTGGTTGATAAATTCAGTAAATACTGAGCTAATTCCATGTGCCAGGTGTTGTTCTCAGAGTTTCAGATGCAACAGGGAACAAAACAGCCTCTGCCCTCAGGAAGCATCCAGTCTAGACAGAGATTACTGGTTGGGATACTGAGGATCTGATGGCATGATGAGGGGGATATTGTTATTTGTATTATTATTATGTGAAAACATTGTAACTTCATAGTGGAAACTATAAAGTATAATATAAAAGTAGTGTATTTTTGAGGCACTTTACCCTTTAGGAATTCAATTTGTGATTGCATATCATCCTAACCACAGCTCTGGGAGAAGAGAAAGGGTTCATACTCCCCATTTTCCACATGTGGAAACTGAGGCACAGGGAGATTACATGGCTTGTTCAAGATCACACATTTAGTATGTGACAGACCCAAAATTTGAACCCAGGTCCCTTGATTTAAAAAAAAATCGATCTATCTATAATTTTTTAACTACTAGAAAAAATATATATGTATGTATGTATCTATATTTTTTCTCTGCTGGGAAAATATTTCATTAACATTTGCATGATACCCTTGGAATAAAGAAAAGAGAGCTGGTAGCACTCTCTGAATGGGTAACTAAAGACAAAAACAAAGAGGGTTCAGTTGTTGTGAGGCAAGTCCCAGGTGAATGAGAAATGGTTGGCCTGACTTGTCTTGATGATACTGTGCCTGAAGAAATCTGTTTTGATTTCATTTTGTGTTGGTTTTTCCTTAGTCCCTATTCTGGGAAAACAACCACCTCCTTGTCACCAGCTATGCGGAGAATGGCCGCCGCTTTATGCCACTGTGCAATGTTCTGTATGGCATGGTTGGAGATTTCTTGAGCTAGTGTCGACAGAAAAATGCCTCTGGTAAGACTTCTGCACAAATCGCAAGAAAAGTCAGGGTTCCTATTTACTATGCATATGCCATTTGTGCTAAGTGCTTTCATATGCATTTTTATCTCTTTGGATTCCACCCCCTTCAAATCCTCTCAGGTAAAGTGGTCATAATAATAATTAAATAATAACAATGATAGTAGAGAAAGAGAATCTATCTTTTGCTAGGTACTGTTCTGAGCACTTTATGGGTATTAATTCATTTAATCCCTGCAACAGCCCCATGGGATAGGTCCTATCCTGATTCCTATTTTGACAAACGAGGAAAGTGAGGCACAGCATGATTGAGAAACTTGCTTAGGATTGCACAGTGTGTAAACAGCAAAGTCAGAGTCTGACTCCAGAGTCCTGCATGACTCTGTCTCACTATCCCCATTTTCCAGAGGGGGAAACTGAGGCTTTGGGAGGTTAAATGACTTGAAGAACTAGGGCCAGGATTCTCCCCTCTTCTCACTGATTCTGAAGCTGCTCCAGGCCGCCAGCAGATATTTTGAGATTCAAATTATTGACTTAAAAAAAAAAAAAAGCACAAAGTGAAAGCTGAGAGTTAAGCTTTATTTAGGGCAAAATGAGGACTATAGCCCAGGAGACAGCACTTCAGATAGATCTGAGAAACTGCTCCAAAGAGGTAGGGGGCAGGGGTCACTGTTATGTACGATTTTAGTGAAGGGGGTGGGTGTGTGAAGTCAGGCACACATTTTGGCAGAGACCTGCTGCTAGTCACAAGGAACAGATGTCACCGTTAATGATTTTAGTACTTTCCTAGATGTGAGGAGATGCAAGACTTGGGCTCATAAAATCTTCTTCTGAAACTATTTATCTAAAGACCTGTTTTGCCAGTTTTTCCTACAGCGTGCCTCATTCCTGATCTCCACCCTGAACTCCTTTCAGGGGGTGTTGAAGGTCAGCGGCTGCAGCGGCTCATGATTTAATCCTTGTAGAGGTAGATGGCAAGTGGCAATTTTGTAGTTGCTCTTGATGAGACCTGAAGGCTGAGCAGGATGAAGTCCAGCAAGGAAAGCGGTTGGGGGGGAGGTGGTCCCTTCGTGAAGACTGGATGTTCTTCCTCCCTGGGTATTGGAGTCATTTAGATCCCACATGCCGTGCGGCGTGGCCAAAAAAAAAAAAGTTAACCTAAGCTCAGTTTTGTTTCTTGCTCCTCCATTCATTCACCCATCTATAAATTTTGTAAAGCGCCTCCTCCGTGCCAGTCCTTGCTCTTCTAGGCACTGGGAACACAGCAGAGAATAAACCAGGAAAATAATACCTCATCCTTACATTATAGGGGCAGGGGTGGACATAAGACCATCAACAGGCAAGTAAAAGCATATACATATAGTTCACCATAAAATTATAAAGGTTACAGAGAAAAACAAAACAGGGAAAAGAGGGTAGGGAGTGCTGGCTGGTAAGGAGGGGAGAGGGAAACATTGCAGTTTTACACAGGCCCAGGGAAGGCCTCACTGAGAAGCTGATGTTTGAGCAAAGACCTAAAGGACTTGAGGAAGAGCATTTCCTGACAGAGGGAATAGCACGTGCAAAGGCCTTGAGGTGGGAGTGTGTATGGCATATTTAAGGAACAGAAAGGCAGGCAGTAAGTGAAGAGGCAAGTAGTAGACTGTGAGGTTAGAGGAATAAAGGAGGGTCAGACAGCACAGGACATCATGAGGTTTCTGACTTTCACTTTGCATGAGATGGGAAGCATGGCAGGGTGCAGATCAAATGGACATGGCCATTCTTCCAGTGGACTGTGACCAGGAAGCCTCAGTTTCATGATCCTACAGAGGGTGAGGGAGCATGGAGGAGGGGTGAGATGGAAAGATCATGAAGGGAGGGAGACGGTGGTATAATACAAATTAATAGTTGGTCTTGGACCCCCTGGTTCCCGGCGCACAGCTCCTGAAACCCTTGGGCTCTGAGGAGTGATGAGTGTCTTTTGTATGGTAATGGGATGACTGGTGGTTGGGAGCCCCTAGATAGCTTCAGATGTGGGCTGGTCACCAAAAAGACAGAGGCATCATTAGAGAGTTGGGACTTTCAGCCCCATCCTCTGTCCTCTGGGAAGGGGCGGGGGACTGGAGATTGAGTTAATCACCAATGATTTAATCAATCATGTCTGCTTAATGAAATCTCCATAAAAACCCCTCTCTGATGGGGTTTGGGGAGCCTCCAAGTTGGTGAGCACATCGAGATGCTGGTGCTCCCAGAGGGAGCAAGGAAGCTCCATGTGTTTCCCTTCAAGAAGTTCACATTTTGCCCTGCTTCGTTCTCCCTGGAACGAATTGTCAATTAGCACTTTCTCCTTTTTCTATAGAGTAAATGGGGAACAAATCCCATTATATATCTGCTGAATTTTGTCCTTAAAATTTTTTTTAATGTAATACATTTTCTATATTTTAAATGTTATAAAATTTCTATTTTCTGGTTAAGGACTGTTACTTTCTTGGTTTATTTTTCTTGTATTTACTTCGAAGACCTGGGTTAATTGGAGAAGGCATTTCTCCCAACAATGCAAAAAAAAAGTTATATATGTAATAAATATAAATTTTTATATATATTTTAATATGGATATAATGTATAATATAATATTATTATATAAATTTTTGGATATATATATATATATATATAATATATATATCACTTGTTAGTGCTCCAGTAGAGAATTAACCCAGCTGTTTAGTTCTCTGCTTTCCTCACATTTGTGCCAAGCACAATGACAGATGTCTTTGAATCAGGGGTTGGGTGCTTCCTCACCAGGCTCCTTGTGGACTGGGTGGGCAGAACTATGAATGTTAAGCCCATACACATTATGTAGGATGAGTTTCAGTATAGTTTGCGGAGCCAGCGAATATTTTCAATTAATTCTTCCTTGATATAATCTTTGAAATAAAATGTGTTTGTCTGTTTTCCCTGTAGGACTCGACTACCAATCCTGCCCTACATCTGAAGATTGTGAAAACAATCCTGTGGATTCTTACTGGAAAAATACATCCATCCAGGTAATCATGGGATGGCTGGCTGGGTGACTGAGCAGGTGTGGGATCTGTAAACAGGGGACAGAAGGGTTCAGAGGCTGGGCCATTGGGTCATTACTAAACTTCTCTGAGTCTCAATTTCTACCTTTGCAACATTCTGATTCACGCTCTCTGCTCCATAAAGGGGTGAGGATTTAAGAAGCTAAAACGCTTAATGCAATGCCTGGTACAGAGAAAAAATTCTGAATGTTAGCTCCAGAAGAAGGTATTAAACAGTCATTATTACTCTGGTGCTGTGGTTGTTGTTAGTAGTTCAAATCAATGTGATTTTGATTGAGGTGTGAAGTGGGGTAACCCCTACTTTATAGGAGAGCCTGGGACCCCTAAGATCTAGATGTGGGCATTAGAGATGTGCACAAGGTTGATATTAACTGAAGAGGAGGCAATAGGAGACCAGGGATAAGCTGGAGACAAAGAAATGGTCCCCTAAATGTGGGTCTGTTTCTCAGAGGATATTGTCACCAGAGTTGATGATAGCTATCTGTAGCTATAACATGCCAGTGACTACAGCTTACATTTTCTGTCACCAGTGTTAGACCAAAGATTCCAGATAAAGAGGGTACAGTCCTTAGCTCAAGTATTGAGCAAAGCAGTCAACTATTAACTGTTAGCTGTATTGACTAGGAGGCTGGTGGATGTGAGGTCGTTCTACCCACTGCCACCAAGCTCCTTTCAGGGCTCTCTGTGTCTCTTCTGGTCCTACTTCCTGCTCTGGACCACCAAGGTGTCCACTGGGTCCACTGTTAATCAGGGTGAGCGAGACTTTGGTCAAATCCTCCACCACAGCTGCAGTTTGGAACTAAGCAGAGGGCCCGCTCCAGACAGAAGCATTCTTATTCCTGTGCTCTCCTGCCAGCTCCAGTCGGAGCCCTCCGTCCATGCCCACTCCCCACAGGTTCTGCTTGGAGTGCAGGCTCCAGGCAGCTGGCAGTGAGCTGCCCGAGCCCCTCAGTGAGGAGTGGGGGGTGGTGGATGCATCGTCACTTGAACGTGGGATCATAACGACAACTTGGGGGTGATATCAACATTATATATTAAAAAAAACAACAACCGTATTCTCCCCAGCAGATCTGCCCAACTTCAAAGTGTGCAGGAAGCCACCATCTTATACTTCCTTCAACTCTAGAATGGGAATCTAATAATCATGCTCACATTTTATGAGCCCTTAGAATACGTTGGATGGTCTGAACATGAGGAGAGGTAGTCTAGTATAGTGACGAGGAGAGGGTCTGAACTATAGCAAATAAGTATTCAATAAATGTTAAGTATTATTTTAAGTGATTTGATCTTTACAGTCCTATGGGGTAGGGACTCTTATTACCCTTGTTTTACAGATAGGAAAAATGAGGCACAGAGAGGCCAAGAAACTTGATCAGACTTATTACCCAGATACTAAGTGCAGCAGCAGAAACCAAATTTTCAACCATGACTTCATAGAGCCTCACTGTATCTGCATGCATGTTTTTAATGAAAAAAAATTTTTATCATCAATGTAGTAACTGCTCAGGATAGAGAATGACAAATTATAGAAAGTATAAATAAGAAAACTAATCATCCATATTCATGCTACCTAAGGGCAAATAGTGGTCATCAGACCTTGACATTTGCAGATTTAACTGAGACTGTTAGCCTACTTGGAAGCAATCTGAGACAGGCGTGGCACGGAGTACATTGTTGCTTTGTTGCGGCTGGCATTCAGCGTGGCTCTGCTGGGCATGTGTCACAGAGCTGTGTGATACCCCCTGCCGTCCTGCCCCCACCCAGCTTCACACTAGAATAAATGTTTTATCAGGGAAATTATATGCTCCAGTAGTGTTCTCAACTGGAGATTTGGGAAATTCTCTGGACCTGTCTGTCCCTTGGGAATCTCAGGGACAGACAGGTCCAGAGAATATTGACTAATATTCCCAGACTTCTGCCTATTTATTTATTTATTTATTTTTTGCAGTACGCGGGCCTCTCACTGTTGTGGCCTCTCCCATTGCGGAGCACATGCTCTGGACGCGCAGGCTCAGTGGCCGTGGCTCACGGGCCCAGACGCTCCACGGCACGTGGGATCTTCCCGGACCGGGCACGAACCCACGTCCCCTGCATCGGCAGGCAGACTCTCAACCACTGCGCCACCAGGGAAGCACTGCCTATTTATTTTTAACAGAGTGGAGCACATGCTCTGTCCACCTAGTTTTGCTTTTTGCTTTTTTTGAATGTAAGCACTTTCTATGTTATTGCATATCTTTTGTAGACTCTTATTAATGGCTAGGTAATATTTCAGACACGAAAGTGCCATAATTGACTTATCCTTCCCTGTTGTTTACTGTTTTAGACTGGTACAAACCATGCTGCAATATACATCTTTGCACACATCTCTGTGCACCAGGTGATCCTTCGTGCTGTTTACCAAGTACTTCTGGCTCATCTTCTGAGCATGTGGTTTGCACTCATTCTGTCTCTTGAAGTTACTTACATGTGACTTACACTGGCCAATAGGATGTGAGTAGGAATGACTGTGTGACATCTGGGTGGAAGCCTTTAAGAACTGGTCTGTGATTTGCCACTTTCTTCTCCCTTTCCTGATAACCAGTGACTCTGCAGTTGTGGAGACTGCCTCAGCTTGGGTCCCAGAGCAAGGACATATGGAGCAAAACCCAAACCCCAAATCCAAACACTTGTGATAAACATGTAGTGTGTGCATGAAATAAATCTTTCTTGTTTAAAGCCACTGTGATTTTGAGGTTGCTTGTAATGCCAGCATAAGTTAGTGTACACCAGCTGATACAATGCTGGAATCTGATACTAGTTTGCATTATTTTATAATGGTAGATTCCCAGGCATGGAATTACTGCGTTTTTGACATTTCAAAGCAATTTACTTTCCAAGATATGCCAGTTTGCATCCCTCTGGCTCTATGAAATACCAAATTTATCCCATCCTTGCCAGTATTGAAAATTGTCAATTTAAAAAACAATTGACCATTTCATAGCTTAAAAATGACATCTTAGCTTACTCAAAATCCTTGTTTCTTTTTGCAGTATGCAAAGGATAGTTCTGGGGTGATCTATGTCATGCTGAATGGTTCAGAGCCAACAGGAGCCTATCCTGTAAAAGGGTAAGAATGCAGCACCAACGTGTAAGACAAAGATGCCAAAATGTGTTTTTAGTTTTTTTTAATGGAGGCTTAAGAGAATCATTCACATCCCCAGTCTAATGCTTGCTTCTGTAAGATCAGGTAGAGAAAAACAATTGGAGATCAGAACTATGTCCATACATTTAACCACTAACAGCTGATAAATGCCTGAATGAAATAAGTAACCTAAAAATTAAAGCTAAAATGTGCCCCCCGCAAAGCTTTAAAACAAAAGTAATGTGTAAGTCAACTAACATTGATATGGGAACAGTATCATATTGCTTTAGGACTTTAAGAAATGCCTTTCCTGTTTCTCAGGTTTTTTGCAGATTTTGAAATTCCCCACTTACAGAAGGATAAAATCACACATATTGAGATCTGGGTTATGCACGAAATCGGGGGAACCAATGTATAAGTTATGATGCTACTGGTAATGATCTTTGTGCAAACCTGCTTTTCTTGGATGTAATATGATCCATTCTGATTTACATTTACATTTCCGGGGAATCAACAGTCTTCTCTGTTTCTAATGTGGTGGGCAGAGAAAGGCAAAGGCTTGACTTTCTGGAAATGCCATGAGTCAGTCCTGAGCGCAGAGAGAAAACCTCCTTTATCCAGACACTCCTCTCAGCTGTTCCGAGCAGGTCATTTGTGTAGGTCAAAGCCAGTTTTTCTCCCTGGTCATTTAAAGTTCAAAAGCCTCACTGGGAGTTCACAGAATGGACTCACAGACCATGTAATGAAGACGTTCTTCTCAGAGAACAACCAGTTTTGCAGCTGGGTCTCAGACAACTGGCTAAGGAAACTTTCATGATCCATATTTTTCTCGGAAGCCACTAACTCAAGTGGTTATATCAACTCAGATATCAATGCAAACTTGAACTCATCCTTCTCATCAACAAAGGGCACTGCTGGCAAAACTAAAGATAAAAAACGTAAACCCAGTTGGCTCAGAGACAAGCCAATAAGGCCAAGCCTGGTAAACGCTGTGCAGCCATGATGGTGCTTCAGGAGCAGCTGGGGCCCTGTCCTTCAGAGCACTGAAGCTACATTGAAAGAATGTTCTGGAAGAATCTTAGCAAATTCCCCATTTCAGGCCGCTAGGACCCCCTAAGACTCACCATATAATGAGTGATATTTTTTTTCTCTTGGGCAGAAGATTAAATTTGCAAATGACTTATTACATAGTCATACCAGAATCTGCTCTTCTCTTCCCAGAAGACAACTTATACCTATTGTTGCATGAAAAACAATGTGTATTGTTTTTCTTGTTTCTGTGAGAAGTTGCTTTTTGTCTAGATATTATGCTTGCTTGTTGTTTTAATGTATCTATCAGAGATTGTCCTTTGAATCTTTTTTTTTTTTTTTTTTTTTTTTTTTTTTTTTTTTTTTTTTTTCCGGACACACAGGCTCAGCGGCCGTGGCTCACGGGCCTAGCAGCTCCACGGCATGTGGGATCTTCCTGGACCGGGACACGAACCCGTGT